TGTCCCTCAACTATTCTAAGCTGAGTAATGGGACATTTTTAGTACTTGCCTCTTACTGAACACACTGGGGTAGAAGTTTTTTTAGCACTGATTCACAGTGTTTTTCTGGTATTTTTCAGCTCACAAGAAACAGGTTCTCATTTCTTACAGATCTTGTTTTATCCTTGCTTCTAAAAATACAGTGGTTATTAATCTGGATTTTTCCTTATACATTTCCTTATCAAATCAATGTAACATTGTATTGATGAGCTACATCAAATCATTAGCATGTGGTTCAGTGAACATAAAAAGCTACATTGTGTCATAAGTGTATTAATTGCCTGTGTTGCAACTTTCATTTCTCCACTATAGGCAGTGCAGTGGCATCTGTGGCTGTGGATCCCAGTGGCCGTCTCTTAGCCACAGGTCAAGAAGACTCTAGCTGCATGCTGTATGACATTAGAGGAGGCAGAATGGTCCAGAGCTACCACCCTCATTCCAGTGATGTGCGCTCTGTTCGATTCTCTCCTGGAGCTCACTACTTGCTAACAGGCTCTTACGATATGAAGATAAAGGTGACAGACTTACAAGGTGATGAGATTATCTTCCCTTTGTTTTTAGTCTCCTATTCTATTTGGGGTCTTTTTTTCCTAGTCTGATATGATTAAGGAACATTTTTTAAGTTTTAATTTTATAGTTATTGAGAAGACTAAATTAAGATTTCTAGTAGTAAATTATTAAGTAAATGGAGTGAAATTTTATTTAATAAAACACGTTTTATTCAATTTATTTACTACAGTGACTTATCCTGTTATATAAATGATGGATTTATATACTCTTTAGCATCCTTAAAAATAATATTGTACAATTTATATAATAGTCTTTCAGTGTCTAGTTTTATCTTTAAACATTCATTAACTAAATGTTTGCTGTATAGCAACTAGGAACAGATGAATTAGACAATTAACTCCCATCTTAATGGAGCTTGTATTTAGAGGCCAATGAAAAATAAACTAACAAATGATGTAATTTTTTAGGTACTGGCTAGTGCTGTTTAAAAATTAGTTGGTAGAGATAGTGACTGTAGTTAGGGAGATGCCATTTGCATGGAGGCCTGAAATATGAGGTGGAACAAACTGTACCAAGTCCCTCTTGAAGAGCGTGATACCAGGATGATGAGGCAGGGATAGACTTGGGATGGTCATGATGCTGAAGGGAGCCAAGGTGTTTGGAACTCAGTGAACACAAGGAAAAAGACACAAAAGTCTAATTCTGAGGCAAAGTTTATCAGCATAAAAGGTCTTTTTAAAAGCAGTTGTAGGTTAATAGAAAAATCAAGAGAAAGATCTATTTCCCATGTACTATCTGTCTTTCACATGCGTCTTCCCCACGAGAATAGTACATTTGTTACTGATGAGCTGCCAGCATTAAAAATGTTATGACATGAATCCTTTGGAAGATGGTTAATCAGGAAGTAATATGATCTAATTACAATCTAAAAGTTATTTGAGCCCTTGTGTGTGCTGTTAGTAGGACAGGAATAGAAATGCAGAATCAGAGAAGGTGGTGTCTGGGAAGAGGTGTGAAATAGAGGTAAAAGAAGTAACTGAATTCAGGGTATTTTAATTCAGGGTAGACTAGGGGAGTAAGAGAACAAGGAATCAGTGGTGGTGCCCAAGTTTCTGACATTAGCATGAAGACAGTGCCACTAATGAGACGAGGTACATGGGTAGGGCAAAACAAATTTAGGCAAGAAAACAGAAAATTTGGTTTTAGACAACTGAAATATAAGATGGCTGCCAAGGAATCAAGTGAGGTGTTAAATGATTATTAAAAGGCTGGGTATGGTGATGCACAACTTTAATCCAGCACTCAGGAGGCAGATCTCTGTGAGTTTGAGGCCAGTCTGGTCGACAGAGTGAGTTTCAGGACAGGTAGGGCTGCATAGTGACACCCCGTCTAAAAAAAAAATATTACTTTGTTACTAATCTGAAGTTTAGGTTTGGGGATAAAGTGAGTGTGAGTCATAGGCGTATAAACACACAAGATAGATGGGATTTCAGAGGAAGTAAGATACAGAGGGTGCTGGGTGGTGGTGGCTCATACTAGGCAGATCTCTGTGAGTTTGAGGACAGCCTGGTCTACAGATCAAGATCCAGGACAGGTTCCAAAGCTACACAGAGAAACCCTACCTGGAAAAAACAAACAAAGAAAAACAAACAAACAAACAAAAAGATACAGGGGGACAGAAGAAGTTGCCAGCTGATCAGGAAAGGGAGGACAATCATCGAAGGTCTTGAGTGAGATGGAGCAGCACTGGAGAACAGAATGGCGGCTGTGACAAATATTACCAGGCGTATGTTACCAAATCCTGGCATTTTTCTCTGCCTAGACCTTTTCTACTATAGCACCCTCGAAGTAGCAGGAAGTCTGTACAATCTGTGTATCTACTGACTTTTCCCTTACACGCCAATATTTCTTCTTTCTCAATTTAGGAGACCTCACCAAGCAGCTTCCTCTTATGGTGGTGGGGGAACACAAGGACAAAGTGATTCAGTGCAGATGGCACACCCAGGACCTTTCCTTCCTGTCGTCTTCTGCAGACAGAACTGTGACTCTCTGGACTTACAGTGGCTAGAGTCCACCCCATGTAGGTCTATGCAGTGAAAGCACAGAGACTCAAAGACTACTGAATTGTGAGGACTACAGGCCTGAAGAATGCAGACCACCCCAGACAGACTTTAGCACAAGGAAGCCCCTTGTTACCATGTCCTCTGAACAGAAGGTGTTGGGTGGTTTTCAGTCTTCCATGTGTGTTCATGCTGCTGTGTAGTCTCCTTGCCAAAGTCTGCAGAAGAGCTCTTATGTTGGTGTGCACGCCAAGTCAAGGTACAGGATGTGTTCATAGTTTATTATTAAATGCACTCCTCGGGTTTTACCCAGATAACAGTTTTATACATACACTGACACGGAGTTAATAGTTAATTAATTGTTACATACAATACAGCCAAGTTCTCCCCAGATGAAACATAGGTGTTCAGAAATTACTTTGGTCGTGTCTTCTAGAGGTCAGAATTCGGTAAGTCTTTCAAATTTTTCATTATTGTCTTTACATAGGGATCATCTTTAGAGTTCACAGATGAAGGGAAAACTGCTTCTCGATCATTCTGCAGCCGTCATTTCTTTTCCTTAATATGGGGTGTGGTTGCTAATTTGTCACATTACTTTGTTTTGGGCTAAAAAGTAACTATTTTACTTTGAAACTTGTTGGTTTCAATTTTTGAATGCACAAGATACCTCCCTTCCAAATGATACTTTAGAAGCAGAGCAGCTGCATTACGTGGAACAATATCGAACAATATCGGATGGTAGGGTATATTTACTGGGTAGCATTTTCCTCTTAAAAATTAAAGACTTTGCCATGGCCCTAGCATGGCTTGAAAAACTGTCTGCATGATAATTTAAAATGGAAAACTGAAACTTTGCACTCCAGAAACTTATTTGGATTTTCTTGCACAGTTATATTTGTACAGTACTATAGATCCTAACATTGTATGTATCTTTATTTTCATATTCAGTATTTTACTTTAAGTTATTAAATAGGCTATTTTATTTATTTCAACTGCAGTTGTATTGACCTGTCTGTTCACTATATGTAGCAAGCATTTTAAATCTATAGTCTACAAGTGGGAAGGGTAATAGAAGTGTAACTGTGCTTTTATTTCAATAAAGACCTTTTGACACCTAAGACTATTGGTTTCTCACAGTCTAAGTCTATGGCACTCCCTCCAGCGTGCTGCTCCCAGTTTTCTTGGAGAAGGTAGGTCCAAGGAAGGAAAGTTGCTGGACGAATGGACCCATGCCCCACTCCTTACTTTCCTAAAGTTCTTCCACTAACCGCCCTGTAGCCCCTATAAAACAGACAGTACTTCTCTGCTCCACCCCCTTTTGTCCTTTCTCCATTCCTTCTTCAGGTGATGAGGGGTTGAACCTAAGATTTTGCACATACTAAGCAACAGTCTACTACTCCTGAGCTGCATGCCAAGCTTTTCTTGTGATTTTTATTTAACAAAGCCTGGCATAGCCAGGGCTGGAACATAGCTCCATGGTAAAGCACTTGCCAGGGCATGAGGAAGGCCCTGGGTTCAGTCCTCAGCACTATAAAACATAAAAAAGCCAGGCTAAAGCCATGTATTTTTTAATGGAGGCATTCATAACCCCAAGCAAACACAAAAAGGTGGTTAAAAAAATTAAATGCTGCCGGGCATTGGTGGCACACACCTTTAATCCCAGCACTCAGGAGGCAGAGGCAGGTGGATCTCTGTGAGTTTGAGGCCAGCCTGGTCTACAGAGTTCCAGGACAGCCTTCTAAATCTGCACAGAAAATCCCTGTCTCAGGAAATAAAAAAAAAGCCAGGCCAATTAAACTGTACCTGGTAGGGTGTACATGTTCTAACCCAATGCTCCATAGGGTTTGGGAGCTTTGGAATGTTTAACAGCTTCACCCTCATGGAAGCAGAGGAGGACAGTGTAAAAGCCAGTATCTTCTTAAGATTAAGTCTCCTCAGTTTAGTTCAATGCACAATTTCATGAATTTAGGATTTCTGTTTTTATTTTGTTTTGAGACAGTCTTACTTGTATCCCTGGCTGGTCTGGAGCTCAGAGAGACTCTTACATCCTAAGTGCTGGGATGTAAGTGCTAGTTGGATGGTGGTACACACCTTTGATCTCAGCATTTGTGAGGCATAGGCAGGCTGATCTCTGGGAGTTCAAGGTCAGCCTGGTCTACAGAGAGAGTTCTAGGACACCCAGGGATATAGAGAGAAACCCTGTCTTGAAAAACACAAACAAAAATGTGTACCACCATAGCTAGGCAGGGCAGCGCACACCTCTAATCCCAACACTTGATAGGAGAGGCAGGAGTATCACTGAGTTTGAGGCCAATCTGGTCTATATAGTGAGTTCCAGGACAGCCAGAGCTGTTAACACAGAGAAACTCTCTCAAAGAAAGTGCACCATCATTTCAGGGCTCTATTTTGGGAATTTTTAATGGTCATTTTTTGATAAGTTTAAAACTAGGGTGGGGGAAGGCAAAAAAACAAACATGATCTCATTTTTCTTTTGGCAAAAGTTAAGCTAAGAATGTGGTGATGCTGTTCTCATTTCCCAAATCAAGCTTTGTTTCCTCTTTCTTGGACAACAAATGGTTTTGACCTAACCAAGTGGAAGTGACTTCGTTTTCCAGAAAGCAGAACATTCAAAGAGTCCGAAGCTTTCTTGCCATGGTATACAGAATGGTGTGTGATATACAGTGAGTGTAGGTTAAGTCCTCTGTCCAGTTGGATTTGAGTATACCCAGTTTGTTGTTCCCACTTGTATGTGGTTTGCACAAGGTCACTGAGTGGAAGTTGGCATTTAAAGGCAGCCTCTCTTGTCCACTGATGGACTAGGCATTTTGTCTTGGTGTGCTCTGACAGCCCAGGAGAAGTATTGCTTAGCAAGAATGCATTATAGACGAAGGTGTCACTGCGGTTCACTGTGTTTTCCTCAGCAGGTTCTTCTACTAGAAGTTTGAGTGGGACACTACAACCAGGGCTACACAGAGAAACCCTGTCTCAAAAAACCAGAAAATAAAAAGAATTATGTATCCCTACTTTAATCATTTTATCAAGACCCTCTCAGGTGAGGTATGAAATTCATTCCTCTAACATTTTTATTACATTTATTTACATACACATAGGTGTGCCTCATACACTGTGTCGAGTATAGGAAGGTCAGGACAGCTTCTAGGGTTTAGTTCTCGCCTTCTTCCATATTGGTCCTAAGGGTCAAACTCAAGTAATCGGGACTGACAGCAAGCACTTTACCTGCTGAGCCACTCAGTGATATGGATTTCATTTCTTATATTGCACTGTCTTTATTAAAGCACCAGAAATTACTTATTAGTAACTATTAGATACCTACAACCATTCCTTGTGTCTATCTTCCCCATGGGGTTGAATAGATTCTGAACTGCATACAAAAAGGAAATGCCAAGGCTGCTCTTCCAGATGCTCTCAGGATGTGAGAAAGGAGTTTGAGAAAAAGGTGGTGCTGGACTCTCCAGGTCTAATTCAAACTTCAGAGTCTAATTCAAATTTCCCCCTTCTCTTTGTTTTTCTTTTTTCAATAAAAAATGTTTAGTTCGACTCAAAAATTATAAGTACAAAAGATATAGTAATCAGTTAAAGGAAGTCTATAAAATTCATAAACCTTTAAGAATATATAATTATTGGCAGGTGGTGGTTAGGGGCTACATAGTAAGACCCTGTTACAAAATACAGAATTAAATAAAAATAAAATCATCACTCAGCAATCTTACATTTAAATATATGCTACTGGGGGTGGAGAGATGGCTCAGTGGTTAAGAATACTAGTTGCTCTTGCAGACGACAGGGTTTCATTCCCAGCACCCATATGGTGGTGGTTCACAACTCATAAACTCAGGTCCAGGGGATCCAATAGGCACACGTGTGATGCACATACATGTATGTAGGCAAAACATTCATTCATATGAAGCAAATCTTCAAAAAAATTAAGTATGTGTTACTGGAGTTTTGGCTCCAAGTCCTGACATGTTGGGCTCAAACACCTGATGTTTCAAAGATGATAGGGTAGAACAGAGATTTATCAAGTATGTTTGGGTGAATAGTGTGGTGGCTAATATTGTCAACTTGACAAATAGTTGTTGGGTGTGGCTCTAGGTTAATAGAGGTACGAAGACACACCTTAATTGTGGGCTGCCCCATTTCAGTTTTGGACTGAATAAAAACAGAAATCAGTATTTGATCATTGCTCTCTGCTTTCTGATTGAGGATATAATGTGAGTAGCTGCTTCAAGTTCCTACTGTCATGATGGGCTCTGCCCTGACGCATGAGCCCAAATAAGCCTGTTCTCCGTTGGTGCCAGTGTCAGCATCACTGCAACAGGGCATGTAACTAGTAGAGATGGATGAAGGAGCTCAGTGGCCCCAAATCCCTACATCCAAGGATAGTTTTGAGCTCCTCCTCACATGTAAGCATCTATAATTAAACTCATTGGGTTTCTCTGGGTCTCTCTCCCCCTTCTCCCTCTCTCTCTCTCTCTCTCTCTCTCTCATACACACACACACACACACACACACACACACAGACGTGGATGTAGAAGGGGGAGCTGATGTGAAAAATGAGATCTGGAGAACGGGAAGGGGGACAAAAGAGGGTTATGGTAAGTGGGTTTGGTCAAAATACATTATAAATGTGTATGAAAATAAAATTAAACAGTATCCATAATTAATATATGCTAATAAAGAGCAGGGGAGCCGGGCAGCCAGCAACAGGAGCAAGAGCTGGAGAGATGGCTTAGCTGTTAAAAGAACATACTGCTCTTCTAGAGGACCCAAGTTTGGTTACCAGTGAAGTTTCTCCACCCGGATAAGCTTCTCCACCGAGGCAGCAATCCAAATCAGACCAAATCAAACTGAATTAGGAAAAGCCCACGTTTAATGGATACAAAGCTCCTGCATGGCCTCCCAGACCCCCAGAGAGAAGACGGGAAAGAGAGACCAGAAAAATCATCTGTTTTCTGGGGGGCAGTTTAAATGCCCTGTGGGAGTGGTCTTGAGCATCTCTAGGGGGAGGGGTTATTATTTGGCTGGCTTTCTGAGATGCATCAGGGTTTGGAGAGAGATAGGGGAGGGCTTGGGTAGAACTTCCACCATAACATTCCAGACTCTGGGTATATGGATGCAAGGGGCTGTGGTGAAGCTTCCACCATAACACCCAGCACCTGCGTTTTGTAGCTCACAATCATCTATAATTCCACTTCTAACTTACATTTCTGGCTTCTGCAGGTACCTGAATTCACATGCGTAGACACATTCATAATTAAAAATAAAATAAATCTCGGGGCTCAGCGTGTTTAGATCATGTTCTGCTTTTGCAGAGGAGTTCCAATGTTCACATGGTGACTCGAAGCATCCATAACTCCATTTCCAAGGGATTTGACTCCCTTTTCTGGCCTCTGTGGGTATGAGACACACATGCGGAACACATATTACATACAGGCAAAGCATTCATACACAAATAAATCTAAAAATACTAAAATAAAATCTTAAAATGTTGTAAACAACATATATGTACCCAAGAATACCGAATTACATACCAGCAGCAATTCATTGCCAATTAATGTTTGTATATCCACTTCTGGGGTGGGGGTTGGGTTCCTCTTTGGTGAGTTTTTTGGTATTGCAAAGCCAGAAGTTGAAGATCAACACAAAACAAACATTGCATCCCAAATACTCTACAGTGTGCCAACTCCCATTTGCCTGCCTCAACGTGGTGCTACTTAGAAAATTATGGTCGGGGCTAGAGATTTGGCTCAACGGTTAATAGCACTGGCTACTCTTCCAGAGGACCCAAGATGAATTCCCAGCTCACAACGGTCAGTAACTCCAGTTTCAGAGGATCCGGCTCTCTCACACATAGATGCAGGCAAAACAATACACATAAAGTAAAATAAATCTTAAGAAAATTATGATCGAAGTAGATTCGGTTTTATTGAAAACACTATATCGTCGAACATAGAAAAACGAGCTTATAGTAAGAAAATATACTTCGTATTCCTTTAAAGGACGTGGGTTTCTTTCTTCGTTTCCTCTGCACTGGATTGGTGGTTGGCTGATTGAAAAGCCTTAACTTCAGAGCAGAGGAGCCAGGCCCGGCCCCACCCTCGCCCGCCCCCGAGGCTCAGCCAATCAGTGCCGCACGCTGGAAGGCCGCACAGCCGCGGGCCGAGCGAGTCGATGAGTCGGCGCTGGATTCCGGCGCAAGCGTACGGCGCCGGAGGTCTCGCGGTCTTGCGCGTCCGTGCTGGCCGCGGTGGTCTGGGTAGGCAGGCGGGACCCCCGAAGTGAGTGGGCGCGCCCGGTGTGTCGGGGTGGCCCGCGGGGCTGCGTGGGAGGCGGTGCGGGAGGCGTCGGGCCGGTGTCAGGGCTTGGGCCTGTAGCGAGCCCCTGCTCGGGGGGGCAGAGCCCCCCCGCCAGTCATCCCCCGCCAGGTGCCCCGCCAGGGCACCTTTCGTTGCCCTGTGAATGCTGAGCGGCCCGCCCGGCCTAGGCGAAGAGCACTCTTGCTCTTGTTATTTTTGAAAACTAGGCACAATCTGCAACAAATATTGGCGGCCAGAAAATATGTTTGTTGTAGTTTATGGTCCAAAATTCCAAATCTGTTTGAGTATATAAAGTTAAGAGGTGCCACGAGCCTGTGTGCTTATGACTGGGTGCGAAAACCAGCCAGGTTTTCTCCATGACACTGAGTGTTTCACTTTTGGTTTTTCGATACAGGGTTTCTCTGTAGCTTTTGGAGGCTGTCCAGGAACTCACTCTTGTAAACCAGGCTGGTCTCGAACTCACAGAGATCCACCTGCTTCTGCCTCCCAAGTGCTGGGATTAAAGGCGTGAGCTACCACCCGGCTGACACTGAAGTATTTCTAAAGTGTGCCCAGACATCCAATTCCCCGGGTCATCTGGACACACATTAGAAATACAGATTCTCAGCCGAGTGAGGTGGTGGTGTACACACCTTTAATCCCAGCACTTGGGAGGCAGAGGAAGGCGGATCTCTGGGAGTTCGAGGCCAGCTTGGTCTACAGAGTGAGTTCTAGGACAGCCTGGGCTACACAGTGAAACCCTGTTTGAAAAACCAAAAAGAAAAATGGTAAAAGAGGTAGAAACAGACTAGTGCCTACCGACAAGTCGTAGAATAACACAGGTCCTTTCGATGAACAAAAGCAACATATGATGTTTTTGTGGTGTTGTTTGTTTTATGAAACGGACTCTTTATGTAACTCAAGCTGGCTCCGACTCAGAAACTTGCTTTTAAAATAAGCGCTCAGTAGGTCTAGATGGCTCTTTGGAGGGAGTGCAAGATCAGTCCCAAGTTTTTTTTTTTTTTTTTTTTTGAGTTCTAGCCTTAAATTAATGGCCACGGGATTCTGGCAGGAGGGCTTTAATTCCCAGCTGATTCTATTTTTGGTTTCTTTCACACCCCGCCCCCCTCTGGTTTGGTTTCCCAGCTCATTCTGCGGCAGTATCTGACCCGGGGTCTCCCATCATTTTAATCACTCTGTAGTCTTAGTTGACTCTGCACTCTGCACTTTTCGTCATTATTGGCGAAAGTGACATGATTGCCAGGGCACGACTTAGTAATGCTTGGCGGGCTTTCAGTCACCTTCCTTTACATAATACCTACCCTCTGCTTTTGTTTGCTAAATCTCCACTCCCTCCACCCTAACCTCCCTGTTTGAAGAAGTTTGTCTTCCTTCTCATGCATCCTATTAATGAAGTGTGTGGTGCCCACCAAAGGGATACAGGGTGCCTTTCCTGTATCCTGGATTTTATAAACGCATCTACTTCTTAACTCTTTAGAATTTGGTCCTTCCCTAGTACTCCTTGTTAGTAAATGGTCAATGAATTAACTCATCCAATGACCTTTTCTCAGGCTCTACTGAATTTCTTTGAAATGCTGAATATGACTAGTATTTGTTTCTTTCAGCCAAGCCCTTCCTTGGTGTCTTTTTAAAAACATTTTCCCTTTATGTTTATGGGTGTTTTGCATGCATGCACGCGGGTCTTTGTGCTATGTGCATGCTTTTCCATGCTGAAGCCAGAAGAGGGCACCAGATCCACTGGAATTGGAGTTACAGCCAGTTCTAAACAGCCACGTGGTTGCTGGGAATGGATCCCTCGGTCCTCTGGAAGAGCAGCCAGTGCTTCTAACCACCGAGCCATCTCTCTAGCCCTTTTCTTGGTGTCTTCACTTTGCTTTTCTTTCTTGCTCTTCTGTCTCCATATTCTTCTGCAGTTCTTCTAAGGCTCTGTTTCTTCCCATTTAAAAAATAAAAATAAAAGTTATTTAGTTTTTCTGTCTCCAGAGTATGAGATGATGCTAGTATTTAGATTTTATATTTTCTAACATAAAAGCATTAGAAGTATCAGTTAGTTGAGTATATTCCTATGTTTGATTCATTCCTGCAACCACCATAAAAGGAACCTATGAATTGTAGACTTCTAATCTTTTGTGTCTAAAGAAATCTGTACTGGTTTTCTAGGACTGCCATAACAAAGTATCATACCCTGGGCCACATAAGTAACAAATCAATTTTCTGACGGTTCTATAGGCTAAGAAGGTGGAGGTGTGACCTGGTTGGTTTCTTCTGAGCCCTCTTGGCTTTTGTTGCATGACTTTTTCTGACAAGACTATTTTTTAAAATTTTTAGTTACTTATCTAATATATATATATATATGTCTGCATTTATGCCTGTGTGCCAGAAGAGGACATCAGATCCCATTATAGATAAATACTTTTGAGCCACCATGTGGGTGCTGGGAGTTGAACTCAGGATCTCTGGAAGAGCAACCAGTGTTCTTAACTGCTGAGCCATCTCTCCAGCCTCATGACAAGACTATTTTTATTATCCCAGATAAAGAGAGCAATGAGAGACCAAAGAAACAATTCCACCCAAGTCTAGCTTAGTGACTAATGAATATATGGGGGTTACTTAGGCACATGGGGGCAACTGCATCTGTAGAAGGAAAAGGTATACTATCCAGGAATGAGGAGGCACTTGGAGGAAGCTATGTGTTTGAAGAGTCCCCTCCTCCCGCCAGCAATTGTTTTACCACCTTGGGGGAGGGGCTTCATCAGGCTGGTAAGCCTGCCTGGCTCCTGGGAAGAGAATGTTTTACTGGAGAGGAGGCAGCTTGTATAGATTTATAAATGGCCTGTTTTCACATTGCCTTCCTTATTTGTCTATATCTTAATTTCTTCTTATTGGGGGGATCTAGTTCTACTGTTTTGTTTTCAGTTTAAGAAATTTAGGGGTAAAAGTGCCTGAGGACCTGAGTTTGGTCCCTGGAACCCATGTAAAAAGCTGGATACACTGACATACATCTGCAATCCTAGCACTGTAACAACAGACAGGAGAATTGGCTAGATGTTCACGACATAGCTAGACAGATAAGCATCACAGTAGCAGAAACAACCAGAGAAACCCTGCTTCAACAAGGGGAAGGCAGGATGAGACTCCCAGACAGTTGTCCTTAGACTTTGGTGTATTCACCCGGCCCCTCTCCCCACATGTAAATAAGGAAATAAATTCAGAAGTTGAGTGCCATGAGGCACACCTAGTGTCAGCTCGCCATGAGACTGAGGTAAGAGGATATTTGAGACCAGGATTTTGATGTTAGTCTAAGCAACATAGCAAGACCCAGTACCTTAAAAAAAAAAAAAAAAAAAAAAAAAAGTTGGGCAGTGGTGGTGCACACTTTTAATTCCAGCACTTGGGAGGCAGAGGCAGGGGAATCTCTTAAGTTTGAGGCCAGCTTGGTCTACAGATCAAGTTTCTAGGACAGCCAGGGCTATGCAGAGAAATCCTTTCTCAAAAAACAAAACAAAACAACGGGCTGGTTTGTTGCATTTTAGTATATTCACAGAAGTGTCTCACCATTATTACAGCTTTAGAGTTGCTCATACTTGTACCCTTCAGGGGCAATTTCCATATAGCCCCAAAACCCAGCCTTAAACACACATTAATTGACTTTCTGTCATACATTTGCATATCTGGGCATTCATATGAATGGAATCATTTTGTCTCTTCTGACTGGTTTCTTGTAGTACATTTTAAAAAGGTTTCATTTATGTTGTAGAATAGTATCAGCAGCTCATTGTATTTATGCCTAGATTATCCCTTATGGCTACCACATTTTATTTACACATGTTGTAGTTGATAGACTGTTGGGCTCTTTTCTGTTTTTTGACTAGTCTGAAAAATTATGAACCCATTAATAGACATTTTTATGTGCCCATATATCTTTTAGATATAGAAGAGCTAAGAGTAAAATGACAGCGCCATGTAAAAAATGCCTATATTTTAATGAGGCTACTTTGCATATATATTTAGATGTGAATACCATCCTATTGTATTTTTTTAAAATACTGTATCATGCATCCCAGGCTGGTCTCAAAGTCAGTATGTAGCTAAGGATGACCTTAAACTTCAGATCCTCCTGCATTTACCTCCTCAGTGTGAGGATTACAAGTGTACACACTATAATGCCTGATTTATGAGGTGCTCGAAATTGAACCCAGGGCTTTGTACTTGCTAGTAAAGTGCTTTTAACCGAACCACACCCCAATCCATTTTAATGTTTTGCTTTTAATTTTATGTACATTCTTTATGTTCTTCATTCAGAAAGTGCTAGATCTTTTAAGTAATTTTTATTAACAAAACATTTAAAAGCTATTATTTTTTTAAAGCTGTGTTCAGGATGCTGTGTTGGCTGCTCCTTTGTGGATGTCTTTTCCTGATGACTGGTCATGCTCATGATGATGACTGGATTGACCCCACAGACATGCTTAATTATGATGCTGCTTCAGGAACAATGAGAAAATCTCAGGTATTTATTTATTTAATTTTATTTTAGGTTTTTCAAGACAGGGTTTTTCTGTGGCTTTGGAGGCTGTCCTGAACTAGCTCTTGTAGACCAGGCTGGTCTCGAACTCACAGAGATCTGCCTGCCTCTGCCTCCTGAGTGCTGGGACTAAAGGCGTGTGCCACCACCGCCCGGCTCAGGTATTTATTTTTTAAATGCACTGATAGCATCTTACCTGCCATGACCAGAGCTCTGAGAGTCATATAAATGACTAGCAGTCATGCTAGGTTCTTTCCTGATACTTCCCCCCTTTTCTTTCATGAGGGGGCTTGAATTCGAGCCTTAACATAGACAAGCACTCACCTGTCTGACTATTTCTGTTTGAATTTGGATGTAATGCCCATCAATCAGTTTAGTTTTGGTTCTTAGCATGTATTCCTAACATGTATTCTTTGATGCAAGTGAAGAATTTAAGAAGCAAAGTCATAAAATGATAGTCAGACTTTTAGTTTTTATTCATTGGAACCTGTTTTTACAACTGAAACATAAAAAATAAAATATCTGCTTTGATTTAGGTAAAATATTGTACATCCGAGAGAAAAGAAATGAGCCCTGACTTGACAAATGCAGAGGAATTATCAGACTGTTTGAACAAACTTGATTCTTTAACTCACAAGGTTTGATTTCTTTTTCCATTCACAATTTAAATATTTAAGTTACTGTGCTGGCTAGTTTTGTGTCAACTTGATGTAAGCTAAGGTCATCTGAGAGGAGGGAATTTCAATGAAGAAAATAACCTCCATAAAATGGGGCTGTAGGCAAGCCTATAGGGCCATTTCTTAATTATCGCTTGATGGAGGAGGACCAGAGTGTGTGGGGTCACCCCTGGGCTGGCGGTCCTGGTTCTGTAAGACAGCAGGTGGAGTAAGCCAGTAAGCAGAACCTCTCCATAGTCTCTGCATCCGCTCTCAGTTCCTGCCCTGCTTGAATTCCTGTTCTGACTTCCTTCAGTGATGAACAGTGATGTGGAGCCAAATAAACTCTTTCTGCCCCAAGTTGCTTTGGTCATGGTGCTTCATCACTGAAATAGTGACCCTAACTGAGACAGTTACTCGTGTTCTTGTCTTTGCTAACTTTCTATTTGTAATATTTCTGTGTACTATACAATTATATATTTTTACTGATACAATTTAGTTACGTCTTGTTTTTTCAAATAGTACATACTATTTTTTTATTTATTTTCATTTCATGTGCATTAGTGTTTTTGCCTGCATGTATGTCTGTATAAGGGTGTTAGATCCTTTGGAACTGGAGTTACAGACTGTTGCAAGCTGTCATGTGGGTGCTGGGGATTGAACCTGGGTCCTCTGGAAGAACAGCCAGTGCTCTTAACTGCTGAGCCACCTCCCCAACCCCAGTACTTACTATCTTTGTAATAACATTTATTATAGTTATTTGTGAGATTATTAATTAGTTAGCACAGGAATCGATTTTTATCTTGATTGTTATCACCTGCCATACTGCTTCGCCATTGATGCTGTAGTAGGTGAGTAGAATCAATTGGCTTATTAAAGGTTGTAACAGTTGCTCTTGCAAATGTGAAGGGTAGTTATAATTTAGTATGGGTAGCTTTTCAAGCTTTTTAAAGTTTTGTTTTGTTTTGTTTTTTTCGAGATAGCATTTCTCTGTGTAGCTTTGGAACCTGTTATGGAACTTACTCTGTAGACCAGGCTGGCCTTGAATTCATAGAGACCCCTGCCTGCCTGTGTCTCCTGAGTGCTGGGATTAAAGGCGTGTGTCCTCACCACCCAGCTCGTTCTTGTTCTCTCTCTCTCTCTCTCTCTCTCTCCCCCACCCCCACATTCTCTCTCTTTAAATGTAGAGTTTATCTAAAAGGAAATCGAATGCTAAGGGATTTGAGTGTATTTTCTGGTCTCTGTGATAACCACTGTTGGTTGTATAGACAGTGAAATGGTTGTAGCCTGGAAAGGGCCTGGCATGGGGAGGGAGGTTATCATGAGGTCATTGAGGAGGTACAGTGGTGCTGATAGTCCAAAGTGGCACAGTGATGAGAGTGAAGAGACAGATGTGAAACCTTTATAGGTAAAGATCAGGACAGTGGATAGATGGTGAGTGGGCGTGTCTGTCTGTGAGACAGTGGTAATTGAGGTCCATCTGTGTCCCAGTCAGGCACCTGTTTGCTTCCTTGCCCTTTCTTTAGGCATACTTACAGTAAACCTATACATTGTCAAAAAAAAAAATAATAATAACAACCAGATGTTTGTCTTAATTCTCAGAGCATCACCAGGCTAGAATGAGTTGTTTTTTTGTTTTGTTTTCTTTACTCTTTGGGGGCCCACCACCCGGCTCCCAAATAAAGCAGGACACTTACTCTTACTTATGAATACCCAGCCTTAGCTTGGCTTGTTTCTGGCCAGCTTTTTCTTCTTTCTTTCTTTCTTTCTTTCTTTCTTTCTTTCTTTCTTTCTTTCTTTCTTTTTTTGTAGTCCATCTTTTTGTTGTTGTTGTTTTATTTGAATTAGAAACAAGATTGAATTACATGACGATCCCAGTTCCCTTCTCCCTCCCATCCTTCCCTACCACCCCCCAACTAAAACCCTACCTACCACATACCCTTTCTTCTAATCTACACCTGACTCAACCTTTCTGCTCCCTCATGACCTCTGCATCCTTCCTCTTCTTCCCTTCTCATTCTCGTAGCTTTCTCCCCCCTCTTCCCATGCTCTCAATTTGCTCAGAGGATCTTGACCCTTTCCCCTTCTCCAGGGGACAAAGTTTGTCTCTCTTAGGGTCCTCCTTGTTTACTAGTTTCTCTGGCAGTGTGGATTGTAGGCTGGTAATCCTTACTCTATGTCTAAAATCCACATATGAGTGAATACATATCATGTTTGTCTTTTTGTGATTGGGTTACCTCACTCAGAATGGTTTCTTCTAGTTCCATCCATTTTCCTGCAAATTTCAAGATTCCATTGTTTTTTT